GGCGATGCAGCCGGTGTCGGACGTCTCATCGAACCCTAGTAGCAGCGAGTGAGTGAGTGAGGACTCTTGATACGAAACGGCGACGACACACACCAGTCGACACACTCACCTACGAGCAGCCAGTTCGGACTGGGCGACGCAGTAGTAGCGGCTAGCCGATGTCGGGCTGCTCGTCGACTCCTCCAAAGGCCCAGAGCTTGCCCGTGTGGTCGGCGTGGCCGCCTGACGAGGAGAGGAAATGTCTCGGAAGTGTCTCGGAAGCTTGCCCGTGTGGTCGGCGTGGCCGCCTGACGAGGAGAGGAAATGTCTCGGAAGGGTCTCGGAAGCTTGCCCGTGTGGTCGGCATGGCCGCCCGCGAGCATCACGCAGGTGTGGTACGCCCGCGGCGGACCGTCGTGGCACGCCTGGTGCGGGGTGAGTGGTGCGGGGTGAGTGGTGCGGGGTGAGTGGTGCGGGACGCTAAGGGGGGAGGGGAGGGGGGAAGGGCACGCCTCCGACTCCCACTCAGCCTCGAAACGGGCGGGGGGGTCGTCGGCCTCGCGGAGCCGGATGGTGTGCAGCGAGCCGGTGATGCCGCGGTACCCGCCCGCGGTGGTGCCCCCGACGACGAGGAGGCGGGCGGACCCTGTGTTCACAGCAAGAGGTGTGAAGAGACGCTGTCCACAGCTAGGCGGCCGGCGAGGAGGCGGGTGCCGCCGTCCGCGTCCTCGCAAGCGGTGATTGTCGGGCCGTACGCGGCTCGCGCGGGCCCTTGTCGGGGGCTCCACAGCGCCACCTGGCTCCACCCCCACTCTCCCTCCGTCGTGGGTGACAGGATGTGCAAGTCTCGTCGAATGCCAACGTTGGTCCACCCGCCTACGCAGGTGCGAGGAGAGGGGCGGCACGGCTGTGTCATCAGACGGCGGTGATGAAGGGTGGCTTGTGTGGAGTCCAACGCGGGCTAGGAGCGAAGGCGCGTGCGCGCGCGTGTGTGTGTGTGTGTGTGTGTGTGTGTGTGTGTGTTGGGTTCCAACAGCAGACACCGTAAACAGCGACGCAGCCGCCGGCGAGGCTGAGCGCGCAGGAGGTGGCGCCCTGCCGCGGGCCGGCTGATCCACTGACAGCGTAGCCCGACGACCTCTCTTCGCCAGGAGCAAGGCCGCCTCGGACCCATTCCGCGTGGCGCAGCGTCGACCGGCCGTGCGCGAGCCGGTACCGCTCGTGCGGGTTCGCGGCTTCGAGAATTGAGAATTCGAAGCCACAGTGAGCAAACTCGCGCTGGTAGTAGCCCTCCCAGAGGTGCTGCGCCGTCAGGGCGCTTGCGAAGCTGCTGCATGTCGAAGCGGCTCTGAGAGCCTCCACTCCACGCAGAGCGGCAAGAACGTTCTCGAGGACGTCGAGGTCTGCTGTGAGCCGGTCGACGGCCGGCTCCGCTGCTTCCGCAGTGGCAGAGGCGCGCAAGTGCTCGACGGAGTCCGCCATGACGAGGTTGATATGCTTTGGCCGCTCTATGTCGACCGATGGTGCCACAGAGTACCGGATTCCCTGAATGTTCTGCGCGTTTTCTTTTTCTCATTCCGCGCAAGGCTCTTCTTTCTTCACCTACCTACCTACATACCTACCACTTAAACGTACCGCTGAGCCTGAGGATAGGCATTCACCCCCCAGAGCGCAAGGTCACGTGCGGCCCCCACTTCGAGGAACTGGCGCCTTCTCAGGAGGGCACAAGAGTACGCGGCGAGCCAGAGGCGGGTCGTGGCGCCGCAGCATGCCTTCCGGTTAGGATGGCGCTCCTCGTGCTGCCTGAGAAGCGCCAACTCGGCGCGAGGGATGGCCATCTCGCTGCGATTGTGAAAGGGCAGGCGACACTCGCGAGCGAGAGTGGCTGTTGGTTTCGCTCCGTGTGTGAGGAAGTGGAACGGCTTGCCTGCGGAGGGGGCGAGGGCGAAGGGTGGACGAGAAGCCCATCGAGATGCAATGGTTCAGGGCAGTGCTCGTCTCACCGTACCCTCGGCAGATCATGTGGATTGTATAGACACGCTCCAGGTCCATGAGAGGTACGCGCGCGCTCATAGAGAGCTGCATCGGCGAGCGCTCGTGGTGCAAGCAACCGCACTGCTCCTGGTACAGAGCATACTCGAGCGGCAGGAAACGCACGCACGCGCGAGGCCCCGCCCACCACCCTGCCGTCACGTTGCGGCACGGCTGAAAGTGCTCGTTCAGCACCTCCTGGTCGCCGTCGCAGCCGCACTTCTTCCCGTTGGTAAAGAGCGAAGGCGAGGCCGCAGCCGCGAGCAGCGCTGAGAAGGTGTCCAGGCTAGGCCTGAGCACGTAGGGCCCGCCGCCGTTGAACTTGGACGGGCTGGCGAAGCAGACGGTTTGGTCTGGGACGGCGAGCAACCCCGAGGGTGGCAGCGGCAGATCGAAGAGATGGTCGAGGTTGCGCAGAGGGAGGAGGTCAGCGTCGAGCGAGACGAGGAGGTCGTGCGTCGAAGCGAAGGCCTCCCACTGCCGCAGCTTGGTGTACGTTCGCGCGTGGCGCCCCCCCGTGAAGGAGAGGCCGGGCGGCACCACGGGTTCCACCTGCACCACCGGAGGAGGCATGGGCCACGGTGAAAGGGAGGTTTCGGAGAAAGGCGGGCATGCTGGGGCGCGGGGCGACTTGGCCCACACCTCGATTACGAACCGGCTGCCGACGACAGTGGCGGCGGCCAGGTGGGCGTTGGCGGTGGCCATGACGTAGAGGGGATAGGCGCAGCGCAGCTCAACCAGCCGATGCGCCACTACCTCAAGCCCAGGAGCGTAGGAGGCGTCAAAGAGCCCAACCACATATGCGAACCGGCGCTGTGCGCGCGCCGACGACAGGTGGCGACGGCCGCGAGCCGTGAGAGAGGAGAAAGTCGTGCCCTCGGCAAGGACGGGTCGCTTGGACTTTGGCTTCGCGCTTGCCCCGGATGTCGTCGACGGCATCGAAGGCATCGACGGCATCGACGGCATCGACGCGACGTGATGGAGAGCGACTTGATCGAAGTGAAGACCTCGCCGGCCACCTGTCCCAGCTGGGTTCCGGCCGCCCGCGCGCCCGGCGCTGCATTCAGCACCGTGGCGATGGCGCTAAGAGGTTCCTCTTTTCCGCGCCCCCCCCGCAAGGCGCGCGATACACACTCCTAGCAGATAGGGGGTCTGGTTGACCCTGGTGCGCAACGAGGAGCAGGGAGGGTATTACGAGCTCAAGCTGGTGATGAAGGTGCCTGTGGGCAAGCAGCAGCTCTGGGAGGCACAGTGTGCGTTATTCACGTCCCTTGCATGGCAGGAGGTGGTAAACCACCCCCACACGTACACGCACACGCACGCACGCACGCACGCACGCAAGAGAGAGAGAGAGAGAGAGAGAGAGAGAGAGAGAGAGAGAGAGAGAGAGAGAGAGAGAGAGAGAGAGAGAGAGAGAGAGAGAGAGAGAGAGAGAGAGAGAGAGAGAGAGAGAGAGAGAGCGGGAGACGCGCTAGCCGCGAACGGGGCCATGCCAGAAACCGCTTCGCGCGGGAGACGGCGCGTTTAGCCGCGAACGGGGCCATGCTCTAGTAGTCCGCCGGATGCGTTCCAGCCTGCGCACGCCTCCAAGAGGCCCTCGCTCTCCAGCCACCTGGACAGGCGGTTGAGGGCGCATCTGCCCGACTGGATCTGCCCCACCGAGTATGCAGTGATGTGCTTGAGCCACAGCGCCTGCATCTTTTTGGGCTGGCGGGCTCTCCCCTCCTCCAGCCGGTAGCCGCAGGCCAGTGCGACCTGGTCTGACCCAATCAGGATGGCAAGCAGGCCGGCTTGCTTCTCCTTGGCAATCTGCTCGGTTTGCTGCGCTGTCGTGCGCGGGACGCTCGTCGCTGGGCCTGTCGCGAGAGCGTTGACGACCATTGTAATCGGCCGCTTGGGTGGGTGTGTGTTGTGGTCCTCGCGTGCAGTCACACCACCAGACAATTGCCCACTGGCCGCCTCCGCGCGTGCGGGTTCGGGCCGCTGCTTCTCCATGCGAGACTCAAGAGCCGCTTGGCGAGCCGACGCAAGGGCTCTCGCTGACGCCAGCTTGGCCTCGACAGCGCGGCGGTGTGCGTCGACCACTTCAGGGTCATTGCGCAGGCCCGCATGTGGTGTTGCTATGAAGCCATCGAGGGAGCCAGGTATCGGCTCGGCGCCGGTCGCCGCGCTCTCTCGGACGCCCGCCTGGGCCAGTAGATGCGCCAGCGCAGGCTCGGCCCCTCGGTCGGTCCAATATTGGCTGGTCGCTATTGCTGAAGTTGAGCATTGCACGTGCTGGACGGGCTGCGGTGCGGTTGTGACACCGGGGTGCTCCTCAAGCCCGCTGCCGCCCATTGCGCGCTCGTCTCGCTCGGGGAGGATCTCGGCCGTCGTCGCTGGGACGAGTACGAGCTCGTAATTCGCGTTGTAGACCAGCACCATCCGTCCCTTTCGGCGCTCCGGATGGTGCTGCTCCCCTCCGTCACCCTCGTGGAGACCACTCGGTCTCACGCGAGGGAGCGGGCAATGTTGACCCTCGGTCGCAGCTCTGTGACGCGGATCGCTGTCGTTTGGTCCATCAGTCACTGGTTGTGGCATCATGGCAAAGCAGGACGCTGGTGTCCACGTGCGTGGACGAGCGTGGTCTTGGTGTTGTTTCGGTGTTTTCACGGACGGAGCTGTGGATGAAAGGTATATGTGCAAGTCGGTGTGTGAAGAGCCGAGGATGTTCCACGGCGTGTGACTCGACTGCAGCCATTTGGAGCCGAGTCATTTTAATAGCACTGTCGGGCACGGTCGTACCTCGCGTGCCCTTTGTGCGAATGCTTGGAAGCGGCGAAGAGGCAGGTGCGGCACAGGCGATGGTAGGGTTGAAGGATCACGCGAGAGGAACGCCGCTCCACGTTTGGACCGCTGGCTGCGGCAACGCCTCCGCCGCGCAGGCAATCGTCATGATAAAGTCGCTGCTCCACCACTACAGCTGGCCGTCGCCTCTTCAAATCCACGTGATGGCGGATGAGGCCAGCGATACCACTCTTGCAGAGTTTCTCGCGAGCGTATGCGGTGGCGCGTGGCTGCGCTGCAAGCTTCACACGCGCGCAATGGTCTTCCAGACGGTGGCGCAGCTGATGCCGGCCTCAGCTTCAGCCCTACTTCAGCGCAGCGCTCTCGACTTTTCAACCCTTGTCAAGGTGGCGCTGCCGCACGTGCTGCCAGCGGACGTGATCTCGCTTGTCGCCGTCGACGCCGACGTTCTGTGGCGAGCCGACGTGGCGGAACTATGGGCCGTCTTTGAGACTGCGCGCGCCGCCTCGTCAGCAATCGCCTTCGGCATGGCGCTCGACGCAATCCGTCTGCGCAAGTGGAAGCCGCAGTATTGGTTGAGGCCGTACGCCGCGGCACCGTACAATGGCGGCCTCGTCCTGATGGACCTCGCCCGCGCGCGCAGCCAGCATTGGCTCAACGTGAGTAGCCACGCGGTGTGGCGCGCGCTCGGCGCGGCTGGCCCATCCGCGCGCCTCGAGTTTGGCGACCAGGACTGGTTCAATGCGGCGTTCGCGCGCCATCCAGCCATGGTGGCAGAGCTGCCGTGCACGTGGAATATTCAGTTGTCGGCGCTGCGCTTTCTGCCGAAGCGCGCGCAGCTGGTGCTGCCGTGCGGTTCGCTTTACGATGGGTCCGCCGCCTCGCTCACTTCGGGCGCCAAGTTGCTGCACGGCTCGGCCTGGAGCTTCCCTGGGAACACCGGCGGTCGCGCAGTCGACGCCGGCGCGCCGCACGCCGTCGAGCATGCCCGCTATGCAGCAATGGCGCCATGCGAGTTGCCGCGCGTCGCGTGCCGTGCCGCCGAGGCGGCGTCGAACCGCTCGCTGCGCGGCAGGGTTTGGGCGGAGTGGCCGATGCGTCGCGCGGCCATGTCACCGCTGCGGGCTGCGGGGCCCGCGACACGCCGCATTGCACCCGCTAACGACGACGACGGCACCAAGCCCCTGCCCACTGCGCCCACTGCCTCCCACACCACCGCCGCGACATCTCGCGTGGAGCTCGTCATCGGCGTGCTTGGACGCGCAGCGCACGTGGAGCGCCGCGACGCGATCCGCCACGGTCTGCACACACTCACATTCGCCTACCCGTCGTACCACCTAGCAAAGCGCGTTGCGCTCGCGTTCGTCCTCGGTGCAGATGCGCTGGGCATGGGTGGCAATGGTGGTGGTGGCGGCGGCGGCGGCCACGGCGGCGGCGGCGGCGGCGGCGGCGGCGGCGGCGGCGGCGGCAGCGGTGGTGGCGGCTCTTCCGCCGCAAGCGCGCTCCTGCGCCGCTCCGTGAGGGCCGAGATGCGGCGTCACGGCGACGTACTGGTGGCCAACTGTAGCGACTCCGACGGCTTTGTCCCGGGGGGCGCGGTGCCCGCGCGCAGCCGTTCGGACCCCGAGGCCAGCAAGCTGCTCGCACTGCTCCGCTGGGCGATTGAGGCGCACCCGCGTGCGGGCTATGTCATGCGCATCCACGACGACACGTACGTGCGGGTGCACGCGCTGCTCCGCGCGATCCGCGCCGAGCCGATCCCGACATCGCACCTCATCTGGGGTCGGTTCGTGCGCGGGTGCCGTAATGACGACGTGCAGAGGCTGCGTGCGGGCGGGCTGAAGCGCAACGAGTCGTTGTGGCTCTGCATGCTGCCCAAATCGCTCCGCCCGAGCTTCGCCGAGGGCCTCTTTCTCTTCCTGCCCTACCCGTCGGGCCTCGGGTGGGTCTACTCTCGTGATGTGGCCGAATGGGTGGCGCACAGCCGCCTGCCATTTCGTCGTATCTGGCCCGCCGACGCCACCGCCGGACTGTGGACAGCGGCGCTCGACATCCGACATTTCGACGACGAGCGCTTCCACGACATCAGCGGCCGCGGTGGACTGCAGCGGTGGTGCGATGCGACCAGCCTGGCAATCCACTACATGGACGCGCGAGCGTGGGCGGCCGTCGATCGCTGCGGCTGCCTGGCGTGCGGCAATGGCACGTGCCCGCCGCCGCCACCCAAGGGGGCCACCTGTGAGCTTGGGCGGCCGCATTGATGCCTGCGGCAATATGGCGCGTGCCCGCCGCCGCCACCCAAGGGGGCTATCTGTGAGCTTGGGCGGCCGCATTGGTGCCTGTCCCTCTTGTACATCTTGGGCCACGAGCCCAGCCACCTTTTTTTTTATCCCTGGAGGCTTGAGCAGTGAGCACAGCCCCGTCCTAGCACCCGTCCTGCCCATGCCGTCCAGGTATCCGTCAGGTACGTCAGTCGGGTATGCGGGATGTCCTTCGGGCTCAAATGCTCCTGTTATGCGAAAAAAGAATATTTTACAACAAAACTCCGTCGCACAACACTGGGCACGGGACTGGCGCGCACTGGCACTAACACAGGTACACCACGGGAGCCGCCTAAGCGACTCCTGCGAGGGTGGCGAGGCACTTAGCTCCGTGCACCCGCCCACCCCCGCCACAGGCAAGCTCATTCACGACCTGCTCTGCGATGGCCGTGTGAAGAACGACTGAGATGCGCTGCTTCTGCAGCCCCAGCCAGCTCTTGGTGGTCCAAGTCACCTCATCGAGGTACTGGGCCCGCGTCAGCTTGTTCTGTAGCACGTTCGCCGCCTTCCGGAGGATCTCACGGACCCCCTTTCCGAACCCGCCGAACGATTCGAACAGCAGCAGCTGCACTTCGACGCCCTTGTCTTCCCTGGCGTAGCGATAGTCCCCGCCGTAGGACGGTATGCGGCGGTCGCCGCCCACCACCCTGCCCCCCCTGGTATGCCAGCGCCCAGTCCCTTGCCCTCTCTCGCCCTTGCTCTTCCTCTCCCCCTCCATGCCGCCCCCCCCGTACCCCTCCCCCCCCTCCCCCCCCCCCTCCTCCTCCCCCCCCCCCTCTCCCTGCCCCCCACCTCCCTCTCCCTCCTCGCAGTAGGGCCCATGCCCCATGACCATGTTCCGGTAGAATGATTCAGTGTTGCCGAAAGCAACAAAAGCGCCCTTCCGACCGTGCTCCCCGCTGCTGCTGAGGGAACAGACGACCTTGACGTCTCCGCAATAGTGCGTGCCGTCCTTGCCAATGTTGTCCGCGTCCACGTCGGGTTGTTTGTTGTAACTCTGACCGAGGTGGGCTTTCGGCTCCATTCGCACAGCGGTGCCCCACGCGGCGCGTAGGGCGAGGATGAGGCGTCGAAGCGTGTACTTGTGTCTGGTGTTGTGGCCCTGCTGCGGTACGTTGACAGCAGCGTCGCCATACTCGTCGTGGGTCTTCCCATTCCGAGTCTTCTTGCCCGCCACCGCGGCCTGGCAGGCCACGTCGAGGGGGAGACCCAGGCGGCGCTGCACCGAAAGACGCATCGCCCAAGTCTCCATTCGCATATCATCCCGCATGGGGATGGCGTTGAGGAAGGCGCCGGCGCCATCCTGGCTCACCGCCACGAAGCGGACTGCCTCCCGCCAAGCCTCATGCTTCGCCCGCTCCCTGCCCGTGGCCTGCGCCTTGCCCTTCTTGCCGCGAGGAGCAGACCGCGATCCCGCGGAGCCCTCTTTGGCGAGCTCCACGGCGAGGTCGCGCCAGTTCCTGTTGTGGACCACCGTCGTGAAGCGCCGCTGCGCCTGGTGTAGGAACTCGTGCTTGGACGTGAACTCGGCGAGGGGCAGCAGCTCCTTGGCCTCGACGAGAGTATGCGGCCGGAAGCGCGAGAGCGCCACCCTCGTAGCCGGCTCCGGCGGCCGCGCGGAGGCGCGCAGCTTCTCGCCCTCGTCGGGCTCGTCCCACGGCTCCACCTCGACTTCCGGGGGCCGGCCTGTCGTACCGCCAACCAGGTCAAAGTACTCCGCCTTCGTCTTGTCGTCCCACTCCTTCCATGTCGCCGTGATCTCGCCGTGCTCCTTCTTGAGCCTGTCATGCGCCGCCCGCAGCTCGTCGAAATCGGAGCCCGGCGCCTTGCTCACGTCAAGGTCGCGGAAAGGAGCATGCAGCTGGCGCATGGGCCCAGCGACGAGCGCCCACGTGCCAATCCACGCCGGCTCGCGAATGTCGACGGCGCTGGTGAGGCCCATGCCGCCCATCTTGACGGGCAGGCGCGCCTGCTTGCGCGCGCGCTCCCAGCGTGTGCCGGCGGCGCCGACCCGCGCCCCGCCGACGAGCTTGTATGCGCCGTGTCAATCAGCTCGTCGTGCCTCTCCGCTGCCGGGAGGGTGACCGACGGCGGCATGGCGCGAAGGAAGAAGGTGAGCGTCGTGTTGCTGCAGAAGCGCAGCAGGACCTGCATCACCTGCTGCATGGGCGACGACGAATGGCGGAAGACGGAGCTCGTGGCGAGAGTCGAGAGGGCGCTCAAGCCGCTCGAGGGCATCCTCAAGCTGCGCGACATCAACCTGCAGAACAGCCTCGGCATCACAGCGCTGAACTCTGCCGCCTACTGCGGCAGCGAGCGAATGGTGGAGATGCTGCTGCAGCACGGAGCAGAGATCGGGACGGCGCTGCCTGGCAGTTTCAGCCCAGGGCGGAAAAGAGCGGGTGGTCGACCTGCTGCTGCGGCGTGGCGCAGAGACCGACCTGCAAAACAAGAACGGTGACACCGCGCTGATGCTCGCCGCCCGCTATAACCGCCCCGCCGTCGTGCTCCGCCTGCTGCGGGCGGGTACGGACATGGCATTGCGCGATGTGTTCGGCAAGACGGCGCTGCCCACTGGGCCAAGGAGAAGGGCCACGCCGAGTGCGTCGAGGCCTTCAGGACGCATCTCGGGGAGGTGGCTGCGAGCCGGAGCAAGGCACCGTCGGCCGAGGCAGGCGGCGGAGACGCGGCGGTGGGTGCGAGTGCCGCGGCCTCTGCTTCGAGCGGCTAGGGAGGCACGGAGGCCGAGCCGAGCAGCGGGGTGGTGCCAGAGGAGGTTGTGGCAGCGGCTTGGCGAGGCGAGGAGGCGGCGGTGCTGATTTGGCTCGACGGCGGCGGGCGGGTCAACGCGACGTTCGAGTTCGTCGTCTTTTGAGGGGTACCCTGGGTGGGCGGGGCCTCTACTCGCGAGCAGTCGCCAGTGCGCGGAGACTGGCATTGGACCGATCGGTGCCCGAAGCTGCCCAAAACACTGATGCCGAAGTGGCGAGCAGCCGCCTCCTCCGTATGCGCGCGCCGAGCTGTGCACCAGCGCAGGCTACCGCAAGCGCTGCGCCCCGCCGGCCTCTGCACGAAAGCGGAAGGCGCAAAGAGGAAGGCTGCGGCGCCGCTGGACTCTCTCAGCATGGTGCACGAGCTACGCGCGGGCGGCCTGCCTCCGCCGACCGCCGAGGTGCTGGCGCGGCTGTTGCTGCGGTCGCTGGCGGAGCAGGAGTCTCGGTCCAAGGCAAGGCAATCTTGTCGTCTGTCTCAGCAAGTCAGCCGCAGTCCGTGAGCCTTCTTTCTCCTCCTCTCGGAACGCGTAGGCAAAGTACGTGGGACGGTCCGAGCTGACCTTCATCACGTCGCAGCAGGAGACGCGGCACGAGAGCGCGCGCACAAAGCTCGAGGACCTCTCGAGGGCTGCACCTCCTTCTCTCTGTGCCCGAACCTCGTCTGAGCGCTCCCGGGACTGCCTTCCTGCAGGTGACGCTCGAGAGCCAGCACGCGTCGCTTCAGAGGGAGATGGAGACCTCCGGCAGCGAAGCGGGCTGCGCCGGGTGGCTTCGTTGCGCGAGCCGCGGCGCCGTGAGCAATATAGGAGCGACTGCGCAGCGACCTCCAGAAGTTGCGGCTGGAGCTGCGGCGCGAGATCGAGATGAGACGAGATTGGCCGAGATTGGACGGGATGGCCTGAGACTCCCCGAGATGGCCCGAGATTCCCCGAGATTCGCCTGGGCGGCGCAGTCTGCGGCGCGGCGGGACGGACGTAGCAACGAAGGGTTGTCGGGGTTCCGTGACGCCGCCGCTGTTCCTCTCAGGCACGAGCGAGACAAGGAGCGGACCGATACGCGCGGTACGCGGCACCTGGTGTGAACGGCGTCTCTTCACAGCTGCGGCTGTGAACAGGAGCGGACCGACACGCGGTACGAGATCGAGCGGACGCAGGCTGCGAGCCGGCTCGACCTCAACTTGTTCCAGGTGAGGGACGTTTCCGAGACGTTTCCGAGACACTTCCGAGAGACGCCTCCGAGACACTCCCGAGGCACCCCTTGCGTCACTCCCGAGACGCGCCCGAGACGCGCCCGAGACGCGCCCGAGGCTGCCCCACTCGTTCCACGCCCTTGCCGTGAAGGGGCGTATGCGAGAGGAGCACGCAAAGACGCACGAGCGCACGACGGAGGCGTTCGCCAGGAGCATCCGAGGGCGAGTGCGCAGCGGCTCCGTCCCAAGGCCCGCGCGGCTGACGGAGGGCCCCCGTGCTCCTTCAGGATCGACCGCGAGGCCAGCGCGATCCGCTCCAAGATCGAGCAGGAGAGGAGGAGTAGGGAGAGTAGTAGTGGAGTAGTGAGAGAGGAGGAGGAGTGAGCGTCTCGTTGAGAAGACGCGACACCCCTCGCCGACGCCTGGCGGCTGAGCGGGGCGAAGGTATCCAAGGTATGGGCCCAAGGGGCTTGGGGTGCTACCTCTCTCTCTCTCCCTCCCTCCCTCCCCCTAGGAGAGGTAGGGCAGGGAGGTAGGTTTCTCCACACACACACAAGTTGGTGGGGCAAGGGCCAGGCTAGCCCTTGCATCTCCACACCCAGGTAGGCAGGAGCTGGCGCGGCATTCAAAGTGCAAGGCTCACCCACCAACCTGTCCCCTCCTCTCGAGCAGGAGAAGGGAGACCTGCTGCGCTACTCGGTCGGCACAATGGCGGCCCTCACCGGCCTCGGCCTCACGGCGCTCCGACTGCTCATGTGAGACATGAACAGTGCGCATGTGCATGTGCATGTGCATGTGCATGTGCATGTTGTGTGCCGCTGCGTGCGCCCTCGCCGACCGCCCCCTGCCTGCCCCGGCCCTTTCCGCATTCCGGCGGCCCTGTACCACACTTCATTCGCTCTCACTTGCTCCACTGCCGTCGTCCAGAGTCAGTTCCGTTCCGCTCAGAGGGCTCTCTCTGCCTCTCTCACCTCCAGGAAAAAAAAAACTGTTCAGTTTTCAAAGGCAAAAACGCCCGCCTACGCCCTCCCCTCACACTGACACTTCTCCCCTATTCCCGTCTTTAGGTTGCGCACATCTCCCAGCGAGCTAGGTTCTCCGCTTTTTCTCCCCTAGTCATCTGCCCGCGCCGCGCGCCTCTGTGGGCGTCTAGTGCAGCCACTGACAGAACTGTTCCAAAGGAGTGGTCAACGTCTCGCCTGAAGTCGGGTGGGCTCGCGCACTGCTTAGCCCTAGGGGAGGGGTGTGTGTGAGGTGTCGGAATGGTAAGGTTTCAGGCCGCCAAGGTGTGGGGGATTTGGGGGATGAGTCAGGAGCCAGCAGCCTTCCTGCTGGACCTGAGTTCACAGCTCCTCCGCCCGACGGGGTGGTCCCTTGGATTCGGGCCCCGCTCCCTTTTCCTGCGCCTGGTCTGTCCCTGTCAAGTGTGTGTTGCGAGATGCAGAGCTGGTTAGGCTGGAGCGCGGGCGGTGCGGTGGCAGGCGAGGGCAGCGCGGTAGGCGAGAGGCGGCCGCGGGGCTTCGAGTGGCGCGATAGGAGGGTAGGCTGGCTGTGGAGGGGCGCCGCGTGGCCTCGGCAAATGAGTAGTGCTTTATGAGCGGCCAGTTTTGTGCGTATTGCATATCGAGCCTGCGGTGTGGCCTAGTTGGTGCAGCGTTCGGGTCGGGGACGTTTTGGTCGTTGGTTCGAGCCCAGCTGGTGCAGTTCGTAGTCGCGTAGCGCGCGGGTGCGCGGCAGCCTCGGCAACCGAGGCGACAGTGGCGAGCAGGGGCGAGCAGGGGCGAGCAGGGGTCAGAGCAGTGCGGCGCGCCGAATTTTTTTCGATGGGCTCGGTCAGTGGGCGTGTCAGGAGGCGGCCGGCCGGGAGAAACTCGGCAGTAAAACTCCCGCGCCGGCCCAGGAGGTGGGAGTGTCACGGAGGCGGCCATTGGCGCGCGCTCCTTGTCTTCGTGGGTCCGAGTTTTTTTTCTCTCACCTCCAGGCTCCACCTCTCAGCGGGAGTCCCAAGACGCGCCCCCTGACCTGAGACCACGCGCACGCCGCCGCAGACGCCTCGGGTGACAAGGGTGACAACTTTTTTGACGCCGTGTACTTAGCGTCCAAAATATAGTATTTTTTCACGACGAGCACAGTAAGCACGCGGCCTGGATCTTCATCCGTCATCGCAGCGACGCGCTCACGGCGAGGCCGAACGCGTCCACCCTCGCCTGTCCCGCGACGGCGGCCCCCACCCCAAGCAGCGCGCGCACGACGCCCAAGTACGTGGAGCGCTCGAGGCCGTCGGCGACGAGACGCAAGTTGATCCGGTCGTCTCGTAGCAGCTCGTCGACGAGCGGTCCGAATGTCTTCTCCACCTCGTCCTTGGAACGATGGGGCAGCGTCGCGACGTCTCGGGCGCGTCTCGGGAGTGACGCAAGCGGTGCCTCGGGAGTGTCTCGGAGGCGTCTCTCGGAAGTGCCTCGGAAACGTCTCGGAAACGTCTCGGGAGTGTCCTTGAAGTGTGTCTCCGAAGTGCCTCGGGGGTGTCTCGGGTGTGTCTCGGAGGCGTCCCCTCGCCTCATCCCACGCCGCGGGCGGCTCGCCTGCCGTAGATCGCACCACCGACTCGTCGAGGGAACCCTCCACGCTCAGCCTGCGCGGAGAGCACGCCGACACATCAGGGCGGGAGTACGGCCTTGTGCAGTGCATTCAGAGCTCCGCGTGGGTACGAGGGGTGCGTCCCAACTACAGCGCAAGACAGGCCGAGTACAGCTGAACACGTGTCGGCTCGAGCGCGGGTTGGGAGACAGGAATGCGCCATTCGGCTTCTAGGACAGTCAGCCTCAATGTGAGGCCCAGCAGGCTCACCGAGGAGGAGAGGAGCATGTCCTAGAAGACACTTCCGAGACACTTCCGAGACACTTCCCAGCAGACTCACCGAGGTGGAGAGGAGCATGTCCGAGAGCAGCCGCAGCGCGAAACGCACGACGTTGGCGTAGAGGACGCGGTCCAGCACCTTGTTGAGCACTCGGAAGTGTCTCGGAAGTGTCTCGGAAGTGTCTCGGAAGTGTCTCGGAAGTGTCGAGGAAGTGTCGAGGACGCGGTCGAGCACCTTGTCCAGCACGGGCTGCCGCGCCGCCGCCTGCGCCGCCACCGCCTCGAGCATAGCGGCGTCGCGCGCAGTTACTTCTCTACCTCATTCATCAAGATAGCCGGTTTATATGGCGTCCAATCATGACTTCGCTCTCGCCTCGAGCACAGAGCTGTCGAGCGCGAGGTCGGGGTCGCGGACCGGCCTGGGCAAGGGAGGCGGGGCAGACGGTGAACGAGCTAGCGTGCGGGGGGAGCGGCAGTGTGCAAAGTGCCTTGCCGTTCTCAACGGAGTCGCTTAGGCGGCTCTCGTGGTGTACCGGTGTGTGTGCCGGACTGCCGGCTTCGCATTCGCCTTCCTGGGACCCAGTGCTGCCTTCTGGCTGTCGACGCTGTCTCTCCCTTCTCGACTGTCTGTGCATGTGCGATCTTGGGCCCGGGGTTGTGTGTTTTTGTGCTTTTGTGCGGCTGTGCTTTTGTGTGAGGAGAGAGGCGTGGAGAGGAGAGGCCACCGGCACCGGCTCTGCTCACTCGGCTCGAGGCGGACGCGCAGCACGCGGCCGAGCAGCACGCTCTCGTCCAGCGCGCCTAGCCCGATCGAGAGCGAGCGCAGCACCACCCGCACGACCAATCCGTACATCCGCCGCTCGACCTTGTCAGGGATGAGCGGGTGGTTGATGGCGGCGTCGGCGGCGAGGACCGAGTCGACGTAGGCGAGGACGTCCTCCTCCGCGACAATCTGGGGACGGCTCCCGGCGACATCCTCGCCGCGGGCCACAGCTGCGCCCGTCAGGCGAGGCGCAAGTGTGCGGCCACCCGCCACGGCCGCCGCCGCAACACGCGGCGACGAGAGTAGCAGCGGCGCACGCGCGGGCGACAGCGCCGCGGTGAAGGCGCGGCACGCGAGAAGCGCCGCAAGAAGCATATATACACGTGTGTGTGTGTTGTATGTGGGCAGGGTTCCAACTTTTTGCGGGGTATGGTACTGGTGAACCGGTGGCTGTCTGGAGCTCGTGTGAGCTGGTCCGACGCGTGGCCGAGCCGAGAGGACCAGCGAGCGACCACATTATGAGGGTACCAAGCGAACCAGTTTAGACCATGAGGGCCCAACTTGAGAATCGTGCTTTGAGTTGGGTTGTTTCGTGTTGGGTTGGGTTGTGCAAGGGTTGGGTTGTTCCGCGTGAGGTTGGGTCGTCGGCGCGAAGGGTGAGGTCTCGACCGCCGCCGCTCACGCCAGCGGACGGCCACTGCCGGTGTTTTTGGCTTCGCCACCGTCCAAGGCGTGCGCCATGCGCTCGCCGGCATCGAGCGAGCAACGTGATCGACCGAGCGGCTTGCTGTGTGGTCGCCTTCTTGTGGCTCTCGTCGAGAGCGTTTTGCGTCCCGGCGGGTGGGAGAATGTGTGTCGTCTGAAGTGTCACTGTGTGCGTCACATCGATGTGGATAACAAGCACGGTCGATCCGTCAAAGCGATACACTCGTTCCTATCACGCTGGAAGGCTTGCACGGAGCTCTGTGCCGGCACACAGAAGAGCCGTGCGGCAAGAAGAGCTCGATGGGGAGCGAGAACCGTCAGATTTTCAGGTGTAGCCTGAAGTCCGTCGCGACGCACTCAATCCCTCCCGAGCGAAAGCCTGTGGCTCTCTCGAACTCGTCGATATATTGCGAATAAACTGCTCTTCCCGCATAGCTTGCAGAGTCAGAGGCGCAGAAAGGCTACGAGTGTTCGACGAGTCTTGCGAGCTGCGCGGTCAAACCTGGGGGGGACTGACCGCATCAAGGCGGACTTCCGAAACATGGGTGAGCACCTCTGGCAGTTCTCGCTCCCCATCGAGCTCTTCTTGCCGCACGGCTCTTCTGTGTGCCGGCACAGAGCTCCGTGCAAGCCTTCCAGCGTGATAGGAACGAGTGTATCGCTTTGACGGATCGACCGTGCTTGTTATCCACATCGATGTGACGCACACAGTGACACATCAACGACACACATTCTCCCACCCGCCGGGACGCAAAACGCTCTCGACGAGAGCCACAAGAAGGCGACCACACAGCAAGCCGCTCGGTCGATCACGTTGCTCGCTCGATGCCGGCGAGCGCATGGCGCACGCCTTGGACGGTGGCGAAGCCAAAAACACCGGCAGTGGCCGTCCGCTGGCGTGAGCGGCGGCGGTCGAGACCTCACCCTTCGCGCCGACGACCCAACCTCACGCGGAACAACCCAACCCAACCCAACAACCCAACAGCACGATTCTCAAGTTGGGCCCTCACCATGTTTAGACCCAGTTTAGACCACGGCTGAACACGAACCAGATTAGTGCTGTTTACGATAAACTGGGTCTAAACAGGGCTCGGCCTGGGAGGGAGACCCATTAGCCATACCAGGTTTAGACCCGGTTTAGGGCGCCCCAGCAGCTCCGCCGTCGCGGCCGCGCTGGCCGCGTCCCGTCGGCACTACCCTCGTGTGCGTGTCGCTTTGGTTGGCGACACCCACTCGTCGAGGGCAGTCCGGCCGACGGGAGTCTGTCGCGCGCCGGCGACGAATGCGGCGTGTTTCGGTGGTTTCGAGTTCGAAGCGATGATGGCACGACCACCGCCCTGCTTCCTGACCGGGCAAGGAGGGGCCTACTCCCGTTCCGCGAGGAACAGGAGGTCCTCCCCCCTCCCCCGGCCTGAGCAGCGACGGGTGGACGGCAGCCCCTTCGAGGTTAGCAGGCGAGCCAGTTCAGTCTCAACCACACGCCCCCCGCGCCTGTACTCCACCAAGTCAAGGTGAAAAGATCGTATCAGCCAGGCGGGCAGGCCAGGCGGGCAGGCGGGCGGGGTCAGGGAAGACTATTCCTAGCGGGCGAGGGCCCTCGGGTTACGCCTCGTCCGGCCCCCTCCGAGGGGGGAAGGGGAAAGAGCGGGTCCTCGGGGTACGCCTCCTCCGGTCCCCTCCGAGGGGGGAAGGGAATTGCAGTTCTCTGTCCATCTACAGCGTGGGTGGTGGTACGCTGCTTCGAGACAGCTCCGCCTCGCGCCCTGCCTTCCTGGAATACTTACGAATACCCAGCGCGGAATACAATACGTAATTAATTAATGAATTAACTAATTAGGTTAGGACGTGGAATACTGTACTCGAGGTCAACTCATATCCCTCCAGGTTACCCCATGGTGCGCGCGCCCCGCACCCCACACCCGGGCTGCTGAGCATCTCCGCGCAGCCCGCATCTCAGCGCTCTCCATCCCCCACCTCAGGCAAACGACCGCCTCGACTGCTTTAGCGAGGAGGGCTTCATGGTCTTTGACGACGGGGGCTTGAAGCCTGTCAGCGGTCCCATTGTCTGCTTCGAGGCGGCGGCGAGCGACGACCACGGCGACCACGCACCAATCGTCATCAAGAAGACGATCGCGCCCACCGCATCGAAGGGCGGCGGGGCGTTGAAGCCGACTTCCCGGAAGCAGACTTCGGGGGCCTTCCCGCCCAACACGCTGTTCCGACTCAAGGAGACCAAGCGCGCCGGCAGCTGGCTCGCGCCAGACGGCGTGACGAGGCCGAAGGTCGACCTTCTCGTCGTCACGGCGACCTTTAGGGCGCCGAAGCGGCTCAGCAGCTCGAGCGGCTCCGGCGGCGGCAAGATGGCGGAGCTGCCCGTCTCTTTGCAGTACGCGTCGTCGCGCAAGGCGTTTGTCAAGGGCCTCGACGACATCATCGAGCGGCCGCTGCTCACGCTCGAGCAGGAGTTTATGCGAGACTACTCCTGGACGGACTTCAAGGACGTCATGTACACGCTGCGCGAGGAGTGGGAGTACGTCAACGGGGAAGCCGTCCCCGCCGCTGACAAGACGCGCGGCACGCGCGACGAGAAAAACGGCGGCATGTCCGTGGTGCAGTTTTGCGATCGCATTAACGCGCGCATTGCAGAGCGGCGCGAGAAGCTGAAGCAGATAAGCCCGGACACGCCGATGCCGAGCGAGGCCAACGCCTTCCTGACGCGCGAGGAGGTGCTCGCGGTGCGGCTGTACACTGGCCCAGCCTACCAGCCCATAAACCGCTTCCTGCGCGAGATCGGCAACAATTCCGGCGGCTTCCGCCGGCTCATTGCGACGCACCCGGCGGCGACCTTCACCGCCACTGTGGCGCACCTCTGCCGCGCCATCCGCAAGCTCTCCGCCATCACGCTGCCAGAGGAGGCGGAAAAGCCTCTCTACCGTGGCGTGCGCGGCGAGCTGCCATACTCGTTTTGGGTGCGGGGCGAGCTCGGCATGGTCTGTGCCACGGACACCGCCTTCATGTCCACTTCCCGCAACCGCGCGACGCCTTTGATGTACATGGACGAGAATGGCCCGAACGTGCTGTGGAGCCTCCGCCCGTCATGCGAGGGAGACACGGGCTTCCACCACGGCGCCGACATCTCGCTGCTCTCGCAGTTTGCCGGCGAGGAGGAGGTGCTCTTCCCGCCGTGCACCATGCTGCAGGTTCTCGAGCAGAAGGACTCGCCTGCAGTGACAGCAGAAGACAAAAAGGCGGCATGGAAGGCCACAAAGCAAAAGACCAACTCGCGTTTCTCGACCGAAGCGGTGCTAGCGGGCGCCCCGTCCGGCAGCGGCGGAAAGCCGGGGCCATCCAGAGCCAAGGCGAGCTCCACGGAGGAGCTTGCCAACCAGCTGCGCGAGTACAAGGAGGAGTCTGTGGAGGGCAAGCCGAATAAGCCAAAGGTGGTGTATTACGAGATCCGGGTCATGCCGACGTTTGTATGAAGATTTAGTTGCAGTTGGATGTTTTGCCTTTTTGATGTTTTTAGTTGAAACACATAAAGTACAGGCACACCTACGCTGCCGACTCCGGCCCCTCGTCCCAGTCGACCCCCGTGTCCTCTGGCGGAAGCGGCGCACCCGGAGCCAGCAATCGGATGCGCACAGCGGCGGCCATGTCGCTCGGCGGCACCGCCGCGGCGGCGCCGCCGGCGCCAAACAGCCCCGTGGCGAAAGGCACGCCCGGCAGCGGCGGCACGATGGAGGGCTGCGCCGCGCCGCCGCCCGCGCCCGCGCCGGTGTCCTTCGTGTCGACGAGGACGGTCGCGCCGTCCTGCGCCTCCTGGTCTCCGATCAGCAGCCGGGAGAGCGGGTCGAGCAGGTGGTGGCGGATGGCGCGCCGCACCGGCCGCGCGCCGTACGCCGGGTCGTACCCGGCCTCCGCCAGCCGGAGCAGGGCGTCCGGGGAGAGGCGCAGGCGGACACCGCGCGCAGAGAGGCGCTCCCGCAGCTGCACCTCGACAGCGCAGATGGCGGCGATGCGCTCGCGGGTGAGCCGCTCGAAGAGGACCTGCTCGCGGCGCCGCCGGTGAGCAGGCCGCCGGGGGGAGGGGGGGAGGGGGGGCGAAGCCGGAACTCGACGGCGAACCCTCTCGGCCCCCCCTCGCGCCGCGTCTCGGCTACGGGGCCCACAACCTCGGCTACGGGGCTCACAATCTCGGCTACGGGGCCCACAATCTCGTCGAGCCGGTTGACGAACCCGGGCGGGAAGGCGTCCGCGATCGCCTTGAGCACTTCGGGCCGCGCCTTGGAGGAGGCGGCCCCCTCCGGCAGCGACGCGAGCTGCCTCTGCGCCCAAATTGGACGTCATGATGATGATCGTGTTGCGGAAGTCGACCGTCTTGCCTTGCGAGTCGGTGAGGCGGCCCTCGTCGAGGACCTGCAGCAGCAGCGTCGCAACCTCGCGGTGCGCCTTCTCGAACTCGTCGAGGAGCAGCACCGAGTACGGCCGCCGCCGCACCGCCTCGGTCAGCTGGCCGCCCTCGTCGTACCCGACGTAGCCGGGCGGCGCGCCGACGAGGCGAGAGACGGCGTGCTTCTCGCTGAACTCGGACATGTCGAGCCGCGTGACCGCGTCGGCCGAGTCGAAGAGGAACCTTGCAGAGGCGCGTCTTGCCCACGCCGGTCGGCCCGACCAGCATGAAAGTGCCTGCGCAGGCTCCGGGAGGGCTCGCGGCAGGCAGAGCGAGCCGGTCGGCCACACCAGCAGGGGCGCGCCGAGCGGGCGCTCGGACGACTGCAGCCCCGCGCGCGAGACTCGCACCGCGTTCGACACGACGGCGAGCGCCTCGTCCTGCCCGATGACGGACCGCGCGAGCGTCGCCTCCATCTGCAGCAGCTTCTCCCGCTCGCCTGCAGCACACCGCCTCCGCCTCGGGACCACGCGCACGCCGCCACTCCCCGCGCCGCCCTCTGGCTGCGCGCGCCCGCAACAAGCCTCGCCGCAGGGATGTCAGTCTGCTGTCTGCATGGAGCGGTCGTGCTGCGCAGGCCCGGCCGTCTGGCTGAAGGAAGCAGCAGCTGGCGGGTCTCGTACACGCTCCTCCTCAGGACTAACAGGAGGAGGAGCTCCAGCCGCAGCGCCGGCGGTTTCAATCACGCCTGTCACTCTACAAGCAGCCCAAAATCGCCCTCGAACTCCTCGAGGTCGCGCTGGCGCGCCGCGCCGTCCGGGCCGTAAGAGCCGAGCCTGGTCTGGGCCCGCTCTAGCCAGCCGTAGAGGAGGGGGCGGCAGCGTTTGTAGGCCAGAACAAAAGCCACCGCCTCGTACCAGCGCTGCAGGTCGCGCATTCTCTTGGGCGTGAGGCGGAGGACGGTGGTCTCAGGTTCGAAAGCCTCGTCGCCGATCGTGGCAGTGTCTGGCACGGTGACGCGGGTCAGGGAGGAGCAGCCGCAGAAGGCGTAGCCGCCGATGGAGGTGAGGCTGGCGGTGAAGGTGACGGAGGAGAGGGCGGAGCAGCGGGAGAAGGCGAAGATGCCGATGGAGGTGAGGCCGGCGGGGAAGGTGACGGAGCCGAGGGCCTCGCAGCCGTTGAAGGCGCTGTTGCCGATGGAGGTGAGGCCAGCGGGGAAGGTGACGGAGGAGAGGGCGGAGCAGCCGTATAAGGCGCCGTGGTCGATGGATGTAAGGCCGGCGGGGAAGGTGACGGAGGAGAGGGCCTCGCAGCTGTTGAAGGCGTACATGCCGATGGAGGTGAGGCCGGCGGGGAGGGTGACGGAGACGAGGGAGGAGCAGAAGGCGAAGGCGCAGATGCCGATGGAGGTGAGGCCGGCGGGGAAGGCGGCGGAGACGAGGGCGGAGCAGCCCTCGAAGGCGTTGCGGCCGATGGAGGTGAGGGTGGCGGGGAAGGTGACGGAGGAGAGGGCGGAGCAGTCGCGGAAGGCGAAGTCGCCGATGGAGGTGAGGCTGGCAGGGAGGTCTATGGAGATGAAGGAGGAACAGCTGTAAAAGGCCTGGTTGCCGATGGAGACGAGGCTGGCGGGGAGGTCGATGGAGACGAGCGAGGAGCAGCCCTCGAAGGCGCCGCTGCCGATGGAGGCGAGGCTGCGCGGGAAGGCGACCGAGACGAGAGAGGTGCGGCCGCGAAACGCCCCGTCCGGCAAGTGCGTCATGCCTTCGGGCAGCACCGCGTGCCCATCGGCGATGACGACCTGCCAGCGACCAAGGTCCAAAGTCTCGGAGCCGGGAGGCGGCGCGGCGCCGCTTGGCGGCGGCGCAGAGGGCGTCGAGGCGGGCACCATCGTGAACAAAGAATTTGGCATGTTTTACTATGGTGGCAAGAAAAGGAAAAAAAAGAACGGCGCCGCAGGCGCCGGCCGGGAGGCCGGGAAGAGATGGGAAGGGGAAAGGAAGGAACAGGGAGGAAGAAGGAAGGTCTAGATAACCAGTCGGAGCCCCGCGGCGGCGAGATGCGCGGTTGCGCGCTCCGGGTCGCTTGCGATGGATTACCAGCTCACCACCTCGCCTTCTCTGTCGCTCTCCTGGCCTAGCCCATCAGTAGCAACCCTGAGCTGTCCCAGACCGCACTTATCTCGGGTCTTCAAGCTCGCACCGGCTCGTGATGCTCCGGTGTAGGGCTCGAGAGCACTCCCGGTGGCCGGTGACCCCGTGCCGAGCGATTGCGAGGGCTTTCCGGAGGTCAATATCGGCGCCACCGACCGTGAAATGTCCCGACCCACAGCCCTCATGCACCAGACGCATGGATGCAGTAATACTATGTAGGCCTTCTCTCCCAGGGTTTTGAGCAATAGCCGCCAAAGGTGCTTTTTGGCAGTTGGCCAAAGTACAGGTTTCGATCCGGGCCACCGCAAATTTTGATCAGCAAATTTCGAGGGGCGGCCGCAAATTTTGAGGTAGATTTTGATTGTCAAAACGTGTCCGTCGTGGCACAGGATAGAGCATATAGGCGGCGAACACCCAGGTGCGCAGGGACATCGCGACTCTGCCCGCTCGCTCGACCCTTTTGGCTTTTGCCGCGAGAGGGCGCCGGCCGCGTGTAAGAGGTGGCTGGCGGCCTGGCGCCCTGAGGCGGCATTTGGTGGGGTCAGCGTGCGGTGCTGAGTCTTACTCGTCGGCGCTGGGGCCAGATCCCAGCGCAGAACTCTGCAACACTGGCATACAAACACAAGAAGACTAACCCTAACCCTAACCCTAACCCTAACCCTAACCCTAACCCTACGTCAGCGTGCGGGGCTGAGTCTCAGTCGTCGGCGCTGTGGGGCCAGATCCCAGCGCAGACCCCTGCAACGCTGGCATATACAGACACAACAAGACTAACCCTGACCCTAACCCTAACCCTAACCCAAACCCTCTAACCCTAATAACCCTAACCTAACCCACCCCCCAACTCCACACCGCAAATTTGAAAGATATTGTTGAAAATCAGGCCCGGCCGCAAATTTCTTCAAAATTTTCGCAAGCCGAGCAATCTGGGAGCCAAACTCCCTGGGCGCCCGGCCGGCCCTGCGGCGCCGCCCTAGTGAGTGAGTGCTCGCCGACCCTCCCGCACTAAAGTTCTCAAACCGACCAAGTCAAGCGAAATCCGGCCCATCGACCTCACGGCCCGGCTGGGGCTTGGAGCCACCCACCCACCCCACCGACCTCACGGCCCGGCTGAGGCTTGGCACCACCCACCCACCCCCACCCACCTCACGCACGGCCCACCCGGCTGATGAGTGAGGCGAGGAAACCCACCCACACCGACCGACCCATCCCCACCACCCAACCAACCCTCCGGCCACGGGAGACACAAGCAAGGTAGCAAAGCACCCAGCCTCGCGCGCGCGCCTCGGCTAGGGTTAGGGTTAGGGTTAGGGTTAGGGTTAGGGTTAGGGTTAGGGTTAGGGTTAGGGTTAGGGTCAGAGAGTTCAAGCCGTTGTGCAGCTCCTAAGAACGGGCCGCTTCGGGTCGGAATGGAGGAACCAGGCAGCGGTCCGTTGACGCGAGCTCTCGGTGAATGCTCCGAGTTCTTCGGGTTAGGGTTAGGGTTAGGGTTAGGGTTAGGGTTGTTAGGGTTAGGGTTAGGGTTACAGGGTTAGGGGTAGCTTGTTGTCGTCGCGCCGATAAGACAGAGACACGGGCAGCAGTGAGCAGACGCGACCCAATCGACGCACCAGAGCATGGTTGGGCGTGTGAGCCGCCATCTTGGACCGTGTGGTGAGGCGAGTATTTGCAACCGGGAGCTCGCCGCCGCCCCTATGCCGCCGCCGCCGCCCTCCCGAGGCCAGATAATAGCCCAAGTCGAAGAGTGCGCCCCGCCCTCGGTATCTGGGTGGCAGGCAGGACTAGAGAGGCACGCCAGAGCACGGCCGGGGGCGCGAGCCGCCATCTTGGACTGTGAGGCGAGTATTTGCCACCGGGAGCTCGCCGCCGCCTCTACGCCGCCGCCGCCGCCCTCCCGAGGCCAGATAATAGCCCAAGTCGAAGAGTGCGCCCCCCGCCCTCGGTATCTGGGTGGCAGGCGGTGGACTAGACAGGCACGCCAGAGCACGGCCGGGGGCGCGAGCCGCCATCTTGGACCGTGAGGCGAGTATTTGCAACCGGGAGCTCGCCGCCGCCTCTACGCCGCCGCCGCCGC